AGTGAGATTTCAATTTAAAAAAAAAAAGGAGCAGCAAGGAGGCTAGAGTGGCTGGAATGGGGCAAGCATGGAGAAAGGTTTGTGGGAGACCTAGTCAGAGACAAAGGGGCCAAATCATTGAGGAACTTTATAAGGAGTGCAGCTTTACTGGTAGAAATGGGGAATCACTCCAAGACTTGGCACCGAGAGTAAACAATGGCAGCTATGCTAAAAAAAATAAAAGCTGTGTAGAGCAAGAAGGGCAGAGAGCAACAATAGTAAGTGGTCCTAGGCATTCAAAAAAATTTTATTATAAAGATGTGGGGTACAATTCAGGGTTAGGTATATAAACACTGATCATGCAGATACCCTTGTTGATGAGGTATGCTCCTCCCTCCCCTAGCAGTTTCCCTCAACTGCCAATCCTAGGGGTTTTTTTTTTTTTGAGTTGGAGTCTCACTCTGTCGCCCAGACTGGAGTGCAGTGGCCGCTCCCAGCCACCGCAGCCTCGCCTGCTGGGCTCCGGCGATCCTTCCACCTCAGCCTTCCGAGTAGCCTGAATTACAGGCATGCGCTACCACGCCTGGCTGATTTTTTGATTTATTGTAGAGAGGAGGTCTCGCTGCCCAGGTGGGTCTCGAACCCGCGGGCTCAGGCAATCCACTCACCTCAGCCTCCCAAAGGCGCGGGATTACAGGCTGAGCCACCGAGCCCGGCGTCTAGGTATTTTCTAATGGCAGGGACAAAAGATTTCCCTTTGGAAGTGGGGTATGAAGAGTCAAGAGTGATCTCTGGGACCTAAGCAATCGAAATGATGATACCGACAGTAGCTGCTGGGGAAGACTGAGTGGAGCTAGTAGGGGAAAGGGAGAGGGTAATAGATTAGCATGTATCTGCCTAACTGGAAATTGACAGCACATGAATCTTACAGCCAAGAGACTTGATAAGAGAACAAAGGAGTGCGGGAAGACTAAGTCCCCTAGTAGTGCCCCAATTTAAAAAGTTAGGGAAGAAAAACAGCAAAGGGGACTAAGGCGGTTGTAAGGAATAAATGTAAATAACTCCGTTTTAACTTTTTCAACTGAGGGATCTAGTCTTGGTCAAATGTGATGAGCGAGCATGTTCTGTCCTTAATATGTGTGTAAGCAGAGAACACAATTGCTAAAAGACAACTTAGCTAAATTACTGCCCAGGTTTGCTGAAACAGGCATGAGTTCAGCTAGTCACACCTTTCTCCCCCTTTTAGTGTCCATTCGTCTAGTCAGATGATTTAGTAAGTCACGGACAACAATAAAATGGACTACCATACAACTTATAGGTAGGCAGCCTCTCAGTGTTGCAGACACACATGGCATGTTCATAAGCAATGTGAACCATAAGAGAGCTCACTCACACTGATACACTTGGGGCAGAATGGCAGCCAGTATTCCTGGATCTACTCCTGAATCGTATAAAAATGACTTCAATAAACAAGTGCTTACAGTAGATAACCTGAGGTATACTATTAACTGAAAAGCCAGTCATCACTAAATTCCTTTAATAACTCTTAGCTAGTCTTCATATTCTGCAAATCACTTTCTAATCGATTGTGTTTTTAGAATAAGTTCAATGCTTAGATTCTTGCATTCTGGGTTAAGGGAATAAATAACTGAAGTGGTACACAGAACTCAAGTTTATACTGTCCTAGGATGGGGTCCCATCTCTAGACTCAGTGCCAGCATTTTCCACAAATATTATACCCATCTGCCTTCTAATAGGTTATAGTAATTGTGTAGGTAGAACCTATTCAAGTCTCTATATGAGACACTTAACATTACAAGATACCACACACTAAGCTGTCACAGCCTGTCTCACACAAAAGGTATCTAACACAGTATTTTGTGGAGTATGTGCTCAAAATTGGTGAAAACATTTTCATGTAATATGGGCTGAGAATTAAGTTCACAAACTTGCCACCATCTGCCTACATTGGCAGCACTATACAAACAACTCGGTGAGCTTTTGTAACCTTGGTCTATCTGTCTCACAGTTGTGTTCGTCTCATGTGATGGTTTCTTGCTGAGTGGCATTCACTACTGTTGTTGCAAGCTCTTGCATGCCATAGTAAGAATGTCAGAGTTTGAATTACAGCAGCAAACAAATGTTAAATTTCTTGTTAAACTTGGCAATAGTGCAATCAGGGATGTTAGTGCAAGTTTGTGGTGGTCATGCCATGAAAATGTCAACGTACAAATGGATTAAACGTTTTTCTGAGGGGAGACAAAGTGTTACTGATGAAAAGAGGTCAGGATGGCCAGTAGAGCTGAACTGGCTAAAACATCACAAAAATTTGACAAATTTTTGTGCTCGGCTGTGAGAGGAAGAGCAGACCAAATAAACATCGATAGAGAAACAGAAAAACCTTGGCATGAGAAGTGTGCACAAAAATAGTCCCGAAGGAGTCAGCTCACACAGCACTGTCTGTGAGAGTTTTTAGCCAGTTAAAAAAAAAAAAAAGAAAAACAAAACAAAAAAAACTATTGGAACACCCTCCCCACTCACCTGATCTGGCCTCCAGGGACTTTCTTCTTTACCCAAAGATAAAGAAAATATTGAAAGAAAAACATCTGGATGACATTCAGGACATCAAGAATAATACAGCAATAGCTGATGGCCATTCCAGAAAGAGTTCCAAAATTGCTTTGACATGTGGACTAGGCACTGGCATCAGTGCATAGCTTCCCAAGGGGAGTACTTTGAAGGTGACTGTAGTAATATTCAGCGCTGAGGTATGTAGCACTTTTTCTAGGATGAGTTCATGAATTTAGTTGTCATACCTTCATATATTGTTAAAAGCTTACAGTTCTCGTAAAGCTTAAGTATATGGTGATGGAGGCTTAGTCTGACAGCATTCAGCAAATAAGTGAGTATTTGGAATCATAAAACTCTTCTAATTCATACTATTTTGCTAGTCATAACCCTTTTGTCGAGCCCACTGCCTCCTCTGCAAAAGGGGGATTAAGAAAACAAATGAGGGCCAGGTTCATGGCTCAGCCTGTAATCCCAGCACTTTGGGAGGCCGAGAAGAGTGAACTGCCTGATTCCACGGGTTCGAGACCAGCCTGGCAACTTGGCGAGATTGCGTCTCTACAATAAAATTTTTTTAAAAAAAGCCAGGCATGGTAGTGCGCATCTGTAGTTCTGGCTACTTGGAAGGCTGAGGCAAAAGGATCGCTGAAGCCCAGAAGGTCAACACTGGTTTGGCCGTGAGCCTGGGCGAAGGAGTGAGACTTCAAACCAAAAATTAAAAACAGCCGGGCTCGGTGGCTCAGCCTGTAATCCCGCACTTTGGGAGGCTGAGGTGAGTGAACTGCCTGAGCCCGCGGGTTCAAAAGCCGCCTGGGCATTTGGTGAGACCTCATCTCTACAATAAATCAAAAAATCAGCCGGACGTGGTAGCACGCGCCTGTAGTTCCAGCTACTTGGAAGGCTGAGGCAGAAGGATCACCGGAGCCCAGCAGGTCGAGGCTGCGGTGGCCAGGAGCGGCCACTGCACTCCAGTCTGGGCAACAGAGTGAGACTCCAACTCAAAAAAATAAAAAATAAAAACAAAAAAACAAATGAGGTAATAGGTACAACAGGTACACTGGGAGATGCTGATGGCAATCTCTCAAAAAAAAAAAACCAAAAAAACGAAAGGAGAGCATAGATAATTGTGTTCTGCAGCTGAGTTGACAGCCACTAAACTGCAAGTGATGAAGACAATTACTCCTTCCTCACTGCTCTACATTCTACTGGGGGATGAATGTGTTACTATGTAGCCTGCCACTACAAAAATGGAGACTAACCTTAGACAGACACCAAATTCTGCCAGTCCCACAGATTAACATTGCTATTTTTCTCAAAGTTAAAGCATGCCCATACCACAATGCCTTCAATTTCGATTTCAAAGTAAATAAGTCACTAAATGACATCCTATTCCACCTCCTACCTACAGTTTACAAATCTTCACTTATTTTTATCTATCCACATCTTCTGTCCTAAGAGGAAGGGGTTTGTCTCTTTCATCTATTTTTTTTAAACCAAGTTTATCTGCAACCAAGCTTTTTGAAATGATTCTAATAATTTTACAGTTAAATGCCCCCACAAGACACAGACAAGTTTCAATTAATTCAACACAAATGAATATAAATAAATGTAAACATGTACCAAAGAGTTAATAGGGAACTTACCACCTGAACCACAATTTTTTTTTTTTTTTTTTGAGTTGGGAGTCTCACTCTGTCGCCCAGACTGGAGTGCAGTGGCTGCTCCCAGCCACCACAGCCTCAACCTGCTGGGCTCTGGCGATCCTTCTGCCTCAGCCTCCCAAGTAGGTGGAACTACAGGCGCGCGCTACGACGCCCGGCTAACTGTTGATTTATTGTAGAGATGAGGTCTCGTCAAGTTGTCCCCAGGCGGGTCTCGAACCCGCGGGCTCAGGCACTGAACCACAATTTTAATGGAGGCATGGAAAGAGATTCCAGTGATGGCACATTATTTATCACATGATTATTTCAGTTGTTTAGTAAGTACTGTGACTTTAACATTCTCTGAAGTCTACAGGTAAGAAATCTGGGGTCTGATATAACTGCCTAGCACACAAGTATTTATTGAAATCATAAATCTGTTACTGTTTCAAAAGTACCCTATGTTTCCAAGTTAATGTGTAATAATTTTGCTACAAAAATTTTTACCTGGTTGAAGTCTGTAAGGTTACTAATCTCCTAAAACTGGACAAGTGTTACCGAGTATAAATTTTAACAACAAAACAGCCTAGAATCTGGTTGGGCTCCTTAATCCTAATTTTAGCCATATACACCAGCTGCTTTAAAGAACATCATAATACCATCACAGAATAACTGCTATCTAAATGGCTGGCTTGAAGGCAAAATGAGACAGATGATAGTCCCATTTCTGTTATACTGCATATTGCCAATAGATAATTCAAATAACACACAATGACTACCAAATTATAAATCAAACAAAAGGACAAACTGCAGTTTTATCAAAACTTTGTTTTATTTTCAATACAAGATAAATACCATGCTTGTTACTAGTGCAGTTTAAGGCCAACAATGGCCATATAGCAAACTGCTGAACAGTCACCTAAATGCTAGAGAAAAAAAAGACAAACATTAAACAGAAAATTGCAATTACAAACATTTTAATAAAATGGAATGAGCTTTTTAATAGAAGCTAATATGGAAGTCTAGCTCTCATGGACATAAAAAAAATGTCTATTTGATCAAATATCACCTTACCTTTTGCACAGAAATCTTATTGTGAAGTCACCATAGAGTGAATAGCTAAAATTTTAGGACTTTCTTTGGCCTTCTGATAGTAAACAAATTATTTACAAACTGCAATTCAGTAATTCATGGATACTGGTAATATGATACAATTTTTTTGTTAAGGGCTTTCCATTAAAAATTGTAAAACAACTTTGTAAGGCTGTACAGGGCTGTAAACTACTTTGCTAATATACTATGTGATGCAGAGGAAGAAGGAACAATAAAGACCTTTTTTAAGGCTAATGTCATCAATGCTATAGATGCATTCCCTAGAATACATTATGATTTACCCCAAAGGATCCTTTCCCATTAAATACCACCTGAGTACTACAATTCTCAAAGTAAAAAAAATAAACAAACATGAATTCATCATTGTATTTTAAAATAATTTAACTTACATAATGCCAAGTGTTACGCAGTAACAGGGCGACAAAAACACACCTTCAAAATGAAATGTTTTACTAAATGCAGGGTCTGTCCAATTATGAAATTAATGTAAAACATTTACACCCATGGCGGAGTTTTAGGACACTCCCACATGAAAAACTCTTGGCAGTATTTACTATCCACAGATACCATTTCAAGATTTGTGTGACTTCAATTAAATTCAACCTAATACTTAAAAGATCTCCCATTACAATGTTAATTAATATAGTGGGAAGCCTTTTAAAAACATTAAAATCTGTCTGTATATAACCAAGTATTTATATATCCCATACAAAAACCATACTAGCTGCATACTCAATGAATGCCAACAACCTGAAATTTCTAAAAAAACACTGGTTAAGACAAACCAAAATCAATCTGAACAGGACAATTGCCTGAATATTTAGAATATTCGTAAAAATCCATATTGCTTCTTTCTAATGCCAAGAAAGAAGAGTATAAGAACTTTCTCTCAGAAGCCTAGACATTTTAACATGTTCTCTTTCAACTTCAATGAAACTTTAATCCTGAATCTTAAATCTCTCTAAATCAAAAATCTCACATTACAAACACAAGGAATGCCATATGTAAGGCCACATCTTAATAAATTTATAATTTTTGGTTGAAAATTTATTGAAAAATTAGTCTAAGGCTTCTAAGAGTCAAGTTGCTAAAAAATAAATACACCAGTGTTTAAACTGAAGGTTAATGTTTAAAACACACACACAGACACACTGTAAGAACAGAAGAATAGAATGCTTTGCTACAAAAATCCCACTTAATATATTTTAGCACAAAAATGTCTAATATGTACAATGAATAAGCGTGCATTTAAGTACATACAACTAGGGGAAACATTTACAGAGGGTTATGGGATGGATGCAAATGAACTTAATGAAAAAAATTTAAAAAGCAGTTATCTGCAAAACAATGAGAATCTCACTATTGTATTCCCAAAACATAAATTTCCTCTTAAAATAACTTAAGTTGAAGCTTAAAACACAAAATTGGAGTCATTTTATAAGATACAGAAAATGTAATGATCATTCAGCTATGAAAACCAAAATGTCAAGAGTACTCTAACACAAAATTCTTGTAGTAACATCTCATTGTATAAAACAGTATGTATTTAGATTATTGGCACATTTAAATACATAAGGGAAAGAGAAAGTCTTTACCCTTTCAACAATTTCCCCCTTTCACTATAAAATATTATACAACATTCATTAAAACTTCCATGTTTAAGAACTGACCTGAAACTAGTAAAAAAATAAAGCAATATTCTCCACAGGAGAATTAAATGAAAATAATATCTTAAGCTACAAGTTATCTGTGAACTCCAAATTGTAGTTAACTGCTTAAGAACATTCTAGGGAAAAGGGCCATTGAATGGACTAAACTATAATCAAAAGTCACTGCAACTCACTCCAAATCTTGCTTATGAAAGTTGACAAAATAAACGCCTGCAAATTTACACTGAAATATGCTTTCCACACATAATTCCTTTAAGCAAGAGTAGCACTTTCAATTCAAAGTGGTGCTTCAGAAGCAATACCACTCAGGTGCTGTATCACTCATCTATAACTTGACTACTGGCTGAAAGGAATGTGACTGTATAGCACTAATAAATGCTATGTAAGACTCAAATCACGTTTGTTCTCATATCCACCGTAGTTACTAATTAAGGGAAAAAAAATGAAAGTCTCTGAGACACTCTTTTTTGTTGTCTGTGCAAGGATTTCTCTCTTTGGATTTTTTTTTTTTTACACATTAAAAAGTTTTCAAATAACATCAACCCATTAACAAGAGAAGGAGGGTATGAAGAAAAAAAGAAGGTTTGAAATTCTCACCTTTACTGCTATACATTCATGTGTTATCAGGTAAAGAAAGACTTTGTAAGATTACTTGGTCAAACCAAAAAGCTGATTTCCATCTGACAACACTTAAAATAATGGACTAGCAGCAAACACATATAGTACACTCACACTGTCTGCAACAAAAGTCATGTAATGAGATCAGTCAGCAGGGAGAAGAGTGATATAAAGAAGCAATTAAAGGGTTCCACTGATAAAAAAAAATGAAAAAGTAAATAAAGGATTTAATTAGTACAAAATGTCCAGTTTCAAATTCAAGTGCAGTTAATTTTTAAATTGTTCAGAGAAAATTTTATTCTCATGAACATTTTACTTACCTTTTAATCTTACTATTAACTAATTTCCCTTGTAAAATATTTATGTCCATACTTCTTCCCATTAGGATATTGTAATTAAAATATTTTAAAAATCTAAGAAATAACAAACACTAACAATATACAGAAAACAGAAATCAATTTTGAAACAACTCTCAAATGTTAGAAAGGCAACTGCATTTTCAACAAGATAAAACACTTAAAAAATCATTTATGAGAGCAAACAGTTCTGATAAACACCAATATCCCATGCAGATACTCCTAACACAAAATATTTTAAAATAAAACTGGCAATAGTATGGATAGTTCGAAACAGCTAATTTTGTGAGAAGTGCTTTGACAGCAGACACAACAAAACTGAAGAACAGCAGTAGAAATCTCTGAAGGGCTTCTACAGTTGCACATAACATAATATCTAGGGTACCTAAATACCTTAAGCATTGTCCTAAAATTTGGCTAAACTTTAAAAACCAATGTGTATTATCATAAGATCTCTCAAAGATAAACAAATCTTTAAAATACATTAACTAATTTGCTCAAGAATTTTAACTCAAATTTCTAAAGTAGTGATTCAGAATTATCTTCCTATAAAAACATCTAATTGAGTCGACATTCTGTCTCTGCCAATTTTGCAATTAAGAACACATGCTAGCCAGCTGCTTAATTTGGGCCTGTATATAAGGCAAGTCTGAAAAAAAATTTGATTAAATAACTATAGTCATGAATCAACAGGTTGCACGAATATACACAGAATTCCGTAAACTGTGCAAGACAGGGTATACCTCTAATCTCTCATGACATATACTGGAGAATACAAACCAATGTTTATAAACATCACATCCTTCAAAAATCTATACCAATCAGAAAGGAAAACTAAGGCTCTCTTTACTCACAATGATCTGCTGCATGGCTGTATTTACATTGCCCATGGCTTCAAAAATAACCATAAGCACCACCAATAAAAAACAGCAAATAACCGCAGCATCAAACCAGAATTGTCAAAATATTTCTTTGATGTCAGCAGTTCACAATTGTTTAGTACATCTGTGTTGTAATTAAGCTGCATTACATAGCAAATATGTATGGGTTTTACTAAAATGTTAAAACCTCAAATATTTTTTGACCCTTAACACATTGACTGGATTGCTATGTCTCAAATTTCAGTTTTTTTACAAGTTTACATACCATTAAGCAAAGTCACAAGCTAACTAGGTAAAAACAGCTAGAAAAGCAGGATATAGAAATATTAAATATCCATGTAATCACCTATTCTAATATCAAAATCAAGGCCAAGAGACACTTAATTAGTATGTTTAATTCACTGAACGCAAGATTAGATGCATATCCAAAAATGCTATTGCAATGCTTTTTTAAAGGACAATAAAAATGTTGTCATAGTAACATTATCTTTAGATATTGCTGAACACAAGACTTTCCCTGAGGTGTAAACATCAAATAACTTGAACAGCTTTACACATCAGCCCCATTAAACAGTTTATTACAACACTACATCTATTGTAATCAAAGTGGTGCTGTTTACAGACATTATCATATGAACATTTTTAACAAGAACAAACTACTATAAAAACAAGCATTTACTTGACTTTTCCAATTGCTTGCACATTATAATAGCCAAATGTATATAACCAGTAATAAAGTTGCAAAAGCTATAACTTTTTAATATCACACAGGTTTCCTTCAAATAAAACAGTTAAGCAACATAAAAAATAAAAGTAGAGCTACTGGTTACCATTTATGCAGATTTGCTTTATTCAGATCTATTCCTGTTCATTTTATCCATGAATCCTTACAGGTTCAGTTCAATCACAAGAAGTAAACTGCTGGACAAGCGTCATTTTTCCCCCATGAAGACTGTTTTGTCTTGGAAGGTGATCCTCTTCCTTCAGCTGTAATGTGTCAAAATTTGTGATGTAGATTTTGCTATTCCCCAAAATACACAGAAAAACGCTGGCTTAACTATACATACACAAGTCGTGCATCTACTTCACTGTCATGTATTCTAACACAAAATAAGAATTAACTGAAACAGTAGCTGCCTCTGTGGTGGAGAAACGTTCTCAATTTATCTGATGATTAAAACCGAGACATTCTGATTTCATTCTTCTTAGAAAATCTTCTTATTGCCTTATAAATTTAATGACTGAAACAGAAATGAAAACACAGCAGCTACTGTTTCTGTGATAATGGAAACATTAAGTCATTTTCTAAAATATGTAAACTACAAAAATAAATGGAAAATGCTTGGATGATTTTAATGTAAATATTTTTCATTTATCCACATATCAATCCTCTATTAACTCATTTAACAATTAAAGCTGAACTAATTATAAAATGCAAAAATTATTTTACAAATTAATTGTTACTTCTTTTGACAGCATACAAGAATTTCTGCAATTTTTATAAATCAAATGGTGCTTCATGTTACAAACTTATAAATAGATTGTATAAATAGATATCTCAATATGGACATTTAAATTAATGACATCCACGTACAAATCTTTAGACATAATACAAATTTAAAACATTTACTTTCACTCTATTGTACCTATACCAAAATATCTAATGTAGCATATAAACTAACCACAAACAAGCTAAATGGAAATCTACAATGATAAATTTCACTGAAAACTCACATAAAGGAAAAAAATCTATCAACTAAAATTTTAAAAATACATGTATATGCAAACTTCAAATAGAGGTTCACAAGAAACATTCAATTAACTTGGATATAAGTAATCACTGAAACACCAGATTATTTAAAATATAAATTCCAAGACAGCACCTCAATAATAAAGTGACTGAAGAGTCAAAAGGGCACAATGTTTAGTGATATTTTGCCATAAAAATTGAAAAATTCTTTTTGCTCTACAATCAAGAGTTATTTCTGTCACAACTATAAATTGTTATCTTCTATGTCCTTTCTTCTTCAACTAGGTTATGAGAATCTTAAGAGTATCAGTACACATACACATTCACACTGCCTAGCAGTAAAACCCTAACAATTTTAAAACTGAAACAAGAAAAGCCAAAAACAAAAACCAGATGTTATAATCCTGGACTTTCTCTTTTAGGTTGTTTCTGTATGTCTATACTTTTCAGAGTCACTTCTGCCATTTCTAATGTTACCTTTTATTGTACCTTTATCTTATGATATGATGATGAAGCTATTTAGAGAAACTATTTAATGGAAAAAAACTTACAATGGTAGCTTTCAAATGTTTTATTTTTAATGCACTTTTAAGAAACTGGCAAAGTATTAAAGAAAGACAAGGCATATGTTTCAATCTGAAAAAATAAATTACTGGGAAATTAATAAATCTTACTGCAAAAGAATGCTATTTTCCTAATTTTTTTTGTTGTGATTGGAAGGGATAAAGAAGAAAGATCTGATCATTTAGAGGGAGCAAAACAAAATATCCAATCCTTCCATAAAGCATATTGCATATACTGCAACTTTATATTATCATTCCAGTGGAGAATTATACTATTTTTTATTTAGAGAAACTTTTTTTGTCAAATCACAATACATGTTGTTATCCAGGACAAATGCACTCATCTTTTGCTTGAAATACTTCATAGTTATATCTTGACTATTGACAAATCTCTAATTTTCACCATACAGACATAAAATCTCAGGGATAGTCTGGCAGTTTTTATTTCTATTTCTAAACACTTTACATTAATCCACTTGGAAATACAAATTTTACAATCTCAAACGGAAGCAAATCTGAAGGCAATACAACCCATTTCCAATAATCCAATTCCATTATCAGTCTCAAATGCCTGAGTAGACAACTACATAAACAAAGATATCAAAAAGAAGCTTAAGTGACAATACATTCAATGCCCATGTTTTCAGAATACCATTTGGTGAAATCTGTAATGTCAAAGCTACATAATTACTTGCTTTATCAGCTATAAAAGGAAAATCTATGTAAACAGCTGTTAAAACAACTAGAAAAGAAATGGAATCTAATCGCTTTTTAATAAAGTCTATAAGCTAAAGTGGGCAGTAAAATTTTAATACACAGAGAAGTATCTGCATTTTGAGATAATGTAAGATCAAGCCATTATTAACTCAAATTATGAGTATATCTGTTAGAATCTTATCTATGCAAATTTATTAGCATTAGTATTTTAAACTCATGGTAAATTCACTTTTTAAGTAAAAAATTCACATATATATCAGATAGGGCTCTTTTATAGATTTTCATATTAATATGTTGAATTAAAAGGCTTCTCATAATTTTAGAGAAGCACTATTAAGTCAATAATAAAATTTTTCTCTATCTAAAAATTTCTCCTTAATGAGAGAAATGTTGATGAGGTGGGCAAGAGAAATAAGTATCTACATACAAGTTAACTCTTTAAAATCAAAAGTCCTTCTTGTGTTGGCTAGAACACATTACACAAAAACAATTCTGGTTATTGTCGATGCTTACAAAAAGTTTCTTGCTACCAAACCATTTCATATTTTCATCTTTCTACTTCCAGACATAGTACTTACCTCATTTTAACTAAAGCATTTTACTACTCTATAAAAATATACACAAGTGTTGCTTTAGGCAGTCCACTAAATAGTAGAAATAAATTTCATCACAAAGAAAAATGAGCTTTGCCCCAAAAAGATTCACAAAATGAACATTTCAAAAAAAAGCTGTTTGTTATTTAGAATTCACTGTGAGAGTTAAAACATGCTACCACAGAAGGCAAAGTCATAAATGGCACCCTCATCCCTTTTTGGTTATTAGGTTTTTTAATAAACAATGCTAACATTATTTATTCAAACAATCTAATTTACAAACTGAAACAATGGTAATAAATTTAACACTGAGATGAAGGTGAGAGAGCAAGGTGACTCACATTAGCATTGAAATTTTTTTTAACAGGGAACATAAATCATTTGTAAACAAAACTATTCTTAAACCACCGTGAGCAAAACACACTATACGTTCATTCAAGGGACTGCTCTACCCTCCCTTGTAATTTCAATTGAGATAGCTGTGTAGTCGACAAGTTTTGTAAACAATACCCAAAGCAAGAAAAATTAGAGAGCTAGCATAACCAAATGAAGAAAAGCAGTAAGGATACAAGGGAAAACACAAGGAAACAGAAACAGGGCTGGAAGTTACTAGGCAGGCATCAGATGGCCTAAGAGTTGCAGAAACAATTTTTAAATCTGATTACAACCATTATCACTTACCACATAATTAACATAAGGTAATTTTCACATAAGACTCAAAGTAACACTAAGTCTTAAGACGAAACATCTTAACATGTTAAAAAAAAAAGCTTTTCATTCTTTTAGCACTTTTGGTTTTTCCCAAATTAATAGAAAGCTGTAAGCTGAATAACCAATGCAAAGCATTCTAACTCCTTGTGCAATAATAAAATCTAAGACAATATTTATGGTAGGGGAAAAAAAAGTAATCACACAGCAAAGGAAAGTACAGTTATTTAATCCAGACTCCACAAACAATTCTTTAAAATTTTATCAAAGAAATGGAAAATGATTAAAAAATATATAAAATCTCATAAGCTTGGGAGACAAAAAGACTGAAAGAGTATTTAAAAAAATAATTTGGTTTCTGAACTGCTAACACAAAAACTGAACTGCTAACACAAATTTCCTGAGTAAGGCTATTCCAAACAAGTAACAAAAAAATGTAACCTAAAATAAATCAACTATGAAAGTAAAATTATTTCTGTAAGAAGTGTGCAATCTTAAAGCACTTAACAACTTTTATTTTGCTCAGAGTGGTCTGAGAATAAAGGCAGAAATTACAGAATATGAAGTACAATGTATTTACATACTGATATTTACAATATTGGTATTTTCTCATTAAAAATATTACCTATTTCAACTTAGATATTGAATACTTTTAGAAAAACCAATACATTTTAAAATGAGAGAATGCAATTAACATCACCAACAGTTCGAACACAAAAAAAATCAAGATGGGACAGACATTAACGCTTGCCAGTATCAAGTTTCCAGTTAAAGTAAGAACTTGCCCGTTTAGTCATTCATCATCACATCATCATTAGTATTTATCTGTATACAGGCTTACTACTGACATTCACTATGGCTTTCAAGTTATTCCACCTAGTCCATTTAAGACTTACATGAAAGCTCAAAAGGACTCATATTTAAAAACTTCTAAACAGGTCAACAACAGACCTTATGATGATGATGATAAAATTTGCAGATAGTTTTTTATTTGTTTAAAAAAAGACTTTCACTTGAATATATATTTACTCCCAGCCCTTACCCCTTTATTCATGTCTACATCCACAAAAAATACCATTTGGTGTATCAACGGTACAATAATCCAGGATAACAGAAGTTTTCCGCTGGGAATGCTTATGTAAAATTTTGCTTGGATGAAGGCACATACAATATTACAACTCAATTCTGATTAATGTACAAACAAAACATGGAAATTCTGGTATGGTACATCAGTGATTAAGAAAAAAATATCAACAACAGTTTGCACGTTAGGAATTCATAGTTAATGTCTGAATGTAATGAAACTCAAGTCATGATATAATTAGGTGTATCCATTACTAGAAAATTATGGTAGTTAATTCAAGTACTTTAAGATTAACAATAAACATTTCAGGAGTTTGCTTGTGACTATGCTAGTTTTATTAAACTCAGTAAGAAAACTGTCATTAACTTTTAGATTAAATTGGTTTACAGGCCCCTTGAGAGGCTCATCCAATTTTGGAGATGACTAAAAGTGCATTCAAGTTTCATTATCATGTCTTCACTAACAAGAAGCTTGCTGATAAGTTCCAAAGTCTAAAAACTATAATTTGCAGAACCTGTACCTTTCTATAATTGCAATGGCTGATACAGTTAAGCATTTCAACTAATAGCCTGATCACAATCCACCTTAGGCAACTAATGAACATTGATAATTTTTTTCATTAAGATGGGATCAGATGTATTTAACTCAGGGGGTGGAGAAAGAAGTACTACATCTTTAAAATTTAATGTTTGATTTACATGATACAACATTTAATTCTTACATCCAAAAACATTATCAACTTCAATAAACTTAATTTTAAAAGGAAAGATGTTTTGTCTCATATTAAAGGAGTGTTTTGAGACTTATTGATATTAAATTTTATAATATAATACATGGAGAACTATACAAAAATTAAAGTTTTAATATTCAACTGCATGTTCAAAATGTGAAGTATTAAAATCAGCCTTTTCACTTAAAAAGCCCTTAAAACTGCAAATAGCATACGAGCTTATTTGTGACCATAAATATAAGACTTACATGCTTATTTTCTAAATAGTATTATTCAAAAGAATCTTATTTGCTAAGGTATATCTGTTATGTTTAAAGAAATAGCTATTCTTTCACAGAACTAAATACACTTGGTAAAGTCTGTTATTTTGTCTATAACAACTTAAATACTACAAGTACCATGACTGATTTTTTTCCAATAAGTCTCCCATGATGACTGAAAATAATCACATAAAGAGTATTTACCGATAAGGGGTTTGTTTTAGCCTAATTTAATTTGGGTATGTCAACCAACATATAGAGAAAAATATGTTTCCAGAATAACGTTTGTGTGACATGCACAACCCTTTTGGTGCCCTCCCCCCCAACTCTTCACATGAGCAAGTGCTATTCACAAATATAAAAATAAAATTACATGTGAAAATGAAGCATAAACAGACAACCCTTCCCACTTTATGAAAAATGTACACAAGAAATAGTTTTTAAAGTACAGAAAAAAAAGACAATGATTATGGCTTATGAGTGAAACATCAAAGAAAATTACTTCAAAGTTATTCTAACCTGAAGTGTATGGCTTGATATTATTTATAATTTTTAGATATGAAGTATCCTTGACCTGTTTTAATTGAGTAACTTTTTAATCTCTGCAAATTAAAGGGTACTGTTTCTTTTAAAAACCAGATGTCAGGAAAACATTGTCTTTTCTATAAAGTGTTTTTTAAGGAAAAAGGCTCTTTCAATGCTGAGAAAACATCCTCCTGTATTATAAACTATTATAGTGTTAGATTTAAAAATTTTTTAGGGACCAATGAAATTATTTCAAGAATAGAAACTTTCAATTTATTTACTTAAAAAAAAAACAAAAAAACCAAGCATATTATATGAAATAACTCCCTGTATTTTATTTTTAAATCACATGCAAACTACATATGTGATCACAAGAACCCCAATTTTTAGATTTTAGAAGTACATAATGAGTCCTCTTGATTATTTCCTTCCTTTGTTAAGACCATTAACTATTTGAAACCTAAACGTGGTAACTCAGCAATACAATATTCAATGATAAAGTTGCAAAATTTTTACATGTCATTACTTACCTGTTATTTGTCTCAGACATTTCCAGGACATTAAATTCAGAACAAGTAGTTGGACCATTTAAAATGTGTATATACTGTACAAACAACAGCCTTGCAGTTATAATTATTGCTAACAACATAGATGCTAAGTGTAACAGGAACAAGGAGTACCCACCTTCTAACGATGACGATACTCGCGCTCTCGGTCACGTTCTCGGTCACGGTCTCGGTCACGATCCCGGTGTCGCTCTCGTTCTCTGCTTCTCTCTCTGTAATAATCATCATGACGATCTCTACTACGGGATTTATGACGCCGACTCTTTTCTCGTGATCTACTATGGTCTCTCTCTCTTGATCGTTCACGTCTTCTAAAAGAAATTACTGGATTAATGCTCTCCATAATTAGACAGCTTTAAAAAATATTCAATATTGTGGTGTTTTTAAAATCTAAGAAGGCAAAAAATTCTTTGTAAATCCATTTGGACATACTATCCTGACCTGCCAATAATGATATACAATAAGCATGAACCAGAAATTTCATTTTTAAAAATATTCAACAAAAATTGACACCATGGTAATACATCATGTCTATTTAAACCAGTAGCCTAAAACAGACAAATGGCATTTATTTAACAAACAAAAAAGTAAAGTTTCAAAGCACTTGTGTTTCAAGCTAAAGGACATCTAGAATACAGTTTTATAGATCTAAAACTCATAAAATTACAGCATACAATTGGCAAAAATACATTAAAAAATCACCATCTATTAACACAGGCTACCAAACCTATATATTATATACTAATTTTACATTTCTACTTAACCAAAATATGGTTCATCAGGAGCACCGTATTAAGAAACTTCCTAATATACACTTATGTTTGGAGGAGGAGAGAAGGCAGAAGAAACCTAATTAATCATATAATTGGCGGGCTCGGTGGCTCAGCCTGTAATCCCGCGCCTTTGGGAGGCTGAGGTGAGTGGATTGTCTGAGCCCGCAGGTTCGAGACCCACCTGGGCAGCGAGACCTCATCTCTACAATAAATCAAAAAATCAGCCAGGCGTGGTAGCGCATGCCTGTAATTCCGGCTACTCAGAAGGCTGAGGCGGAAGGATTGCTGGAGCCCAGTAGGCGAGGCTGCGGTGGCCGGGAGCGGCCACTGTACTCCAGTCTAGACGACCGAGTGAGACTCCAACTCAAAAAAAAAAAAAAATCAATCATATAATTGTATTTAATAAGTAGAAATGAACTGCCTTTATAACAAAACGAAATTTAGACTAAGTTTACTACTGCCTAAAAGACTTATGGAAATTCTGAATTCACAATAAGGAAATAACAATTGCCTATCAGTTAAACTAAGGATGTTTTAATCTTGTATTTCTATACCACAGCTAAGTCTTAGTAGGCTAGGCTTAGCAAATATTAATAGGTGCTAAGCTTGATCAAGACAGAAATTATCAGTCTGGGCTGAAAAAGATGATGATGATGTAAGATATGATAATGTATAGCTTATGATTTGTTCAGATAAAAAAATTTGTTCAGATAAAAAAATTCTTACCCTGGGTCAAAAAGGTAATAATTACACAGTTGAGGACCATGCCAAAGATAAGCTCCTTTCTCTTAAAGAAGATTTTACCACTATACAAAAGTACACTTAAGATAGATCTAAGACTATCACGTGAAGATTAAAGATCTGTCTTTCAAAAAATATGTAAAACTTCAAGGTTAGCTTGAAATCAAAATGTTAAAAAAGGAACTACCTAAAAAACAGATCATTCATTCACTCCCTTATTCAGGAAATTTTTATTTAGCACCCATTCTGCACAAAGCATTCTGTAGGCATCAGAAATATTATAGCCAGTAGGATAGATTAGGCCCCTGCCATCATTCAATATGTGTTCTAACTAGAAGAAGTGAGCACTGATAACAAACAAAAACACGTTAAGTACCATGAAAAAAAGAAACAGAATAATATGACAGACTAACCTGGGCGAAGACCCCTGCTAAGAAATTAGAATAAGAAGACCCAAGAAGGATAATGAGGCAGGTATGTCAAGAGCCAGGGAAAAAAGTTCCCAGCAGAAGAAATATCAAGTAGAAAGTGAGATAGTCAAATGCTTGATGTATCCCAAGAAAAAGAAAGGAGATCAATATGGTTGGAGAACAGCGAGTAAGGGGAGAGTTACAAAATGAAGCTAAAAAAGATAGGCAGACACTGTATCACACACAGTGCCAAATTTACAGACCTATGCTAAGAGTAAACAGAAGCCTTTGAAAAGTCTTAACCGACGAACATCTGGCAATCTGACATTTAGAGTTTAAAAAAAAAATCACTCTGGCAGCTAAATAAACAGTAAGTAAAAGCGAAGTCCCAAATACAGCATTTGTTTCTATTTGTAAACTAGCAGTTTCAATAGACAAGAGACAGGAAAAGTTTTACCTTGATCCAGAACCATATGACTTGGATTCAATTCCATGAAGGCAATCTTGCAAAGAGCTAATAAGAACTTTGCAACGATCATCAGCAGATACTTTGGATTGTTTAATTAAAGAAATTGCAGTTACCAATGTCTCAATAGCACTCCCATAATCACCTGTGAAGGAAAGAAAGGGGGTGAAGTCAAAGAAATTGTTTTCAAAATGCCATCAAACCACTTGGGGCAGGAGTGATAAAGCATTTTACAAAAGCAGTGTATTTTAAAATTTTTTAGGCTTTCATGCTCATGAAATTAACCTAACTTATTATTATGGCTGTGCAAAGGTTGTCACTTTGCAAATATGAGAATAAATGAGCTGCCTTAAGGCCCCTGAACCATTAGATATCAAAGCTAAGACTTAAATCTACATCTAACCCTTTGCAGTTGGAGACATCCTGTAGAATACTTACCAGCAACTCAACCACACCTTTTTACAAAATAGTGGAAAACAAGTACTTCATTATTAAATAATATAGCATTGGAATTATTGTGTTGTAATGATATTTGGCTTATAATGGAATTTGACATTGAAATTAAAACAAGCCGGGCTCGGTGGTTCAGCCTGTAATCCCGCGCCTTTGGGAGGCTGAGTTGAGTGGATTGTCTGAGCCCACAGGTTTGAGACCCGCCGGGGCAAGCAAGACCTCATCTCTACAATAAATCAAAAATCAGCTGGGCGTGGTAGCATGCGCCTGTAGTTCCAGCTACTTAGAAGGATCGCCAGAGTCCAGCAGGTCGAGGCTGCGGTGGCCACTGCACTCCAGTCTGGGTGACAGAGTAAGACTCCAACTCAAAAAAAAAAAAGAAATTAAAACAAAAAAATTAAAACTTTATATATGTTTCTAATATGTGGTAACGTGTGAAGCAGTCACCAATATGCCTTGCAGGTTCACTGGTATATGTTGTGCAATAGTAATTTATTTGCCATCTTCCACCTGGTGTTTTTCTATCTGAGCAGACAATGCAGTCTTGTTTCCTTCCTCCCACATTAATAACACGTAATTTATTGTCAGTTTGTTGTTCGAAGACAATGTGGAAAGGACACACTCGGGATTCCTGAAAACCACTTCTCAACCAATCAGAAGCTTAATAAACCTCAAATGGGACATAACTTTTTCATTGTTTTTGAATGGAAAAATTCAAGGTAACATATATTTTTGAAAAATGTGTGCTTACATAAGTTTGTCCTGTACAATCGTCACCAATTTTGTTATGTCCCCTGAGAGGGGGCATTCGAGTACAAAGGGCTAAAATCTTGCAATGAGAGTTTTCTACTACACTGTGACATACAGTTTTTTTCAATACTTTTTAAATAAACGACAGGTAATGATTTGGGAATATAAAAAGAACCATTACATGTAAAAATGACCTATCTTCCAAATTGCACTTAAGTTTCTAGGTCACTCCAAATAACAAATAATAAGAAAGAAATATACAAACCAGCACTGGCATCAGACACAGCTCTGGAAATAGCACTGCTTGAAATTGCCCTGTTTCTATTCATGATTTCTTCAAACTCAGCTTCACTCAATGGTGTTCTTGCAGTATCCATTTCCCTACAAAGTAAAAATAAGTCTTAACTTGTACCCCAAAGATTTTCTAAGTCATAATAGGGTAAAGCAAAAAAATTAAAACTTTATATATTTTTCTAATATGTGGTAACGTGTGAAGCAGTCACCAACATGCCTTGCAGGTTCACTGGTACTAGCTGCTTGACAAGAGCCTTAGAGGCAAGTTACTTTTCCAGATTGAAGTATGCTATTTTTCCTACAAAGAGAACAAGTCTAAGCAAAATTCTCTTACAACATTATTTCAGCGGAAATAAAGTAGTAGCTTTGAAACTTCATCTTTCAGGAAGGCAGAAATGGTATGTTTACATGTCTACAGTATATTTTTCATAGAGGCACTGGTTCTATCTTGTACAAATCAAACACTTTCACAGATACATACTAACTTACCTTCCAGGGGGCCCATAGTCACCCCTATCATATGGTGGAGGTCGGCCATATGGGTCTGTTGGTGGCGGACCCCGGCTGTCTGATGTAGGCATGCCGCTGTTAGTTGGTGGAGGAAAGAAAGCCGGGTTCACATGTGGAGCTGGCGGAGGGGCACCTGGAGGTGGTCCAGGAAGATGCGGAGGAGGTGCAAGTGTAAGGGGTGGCCCAAGTGGACCAGGTGGACGAGGTGGAAAAGGGCCTGGAGGTGGAGGTGGTCCCTGTTGTGGAGGTGGTGGACCAGGAGGGGGGCCGTAGCCTGGAACTGGAGGTGGTGGGCCAGGAGGAAGCGGACCCAATGGAGGTTGCCCAAAAGGTTGTCCAGGAAAAAGAACTGGTGGTGGAGGGCGATCTCCTCGATTAGGAGGCCCAGCTAGAGGAGGAGGCAGAACCTGACCAGGAGGTGGAGGACCTGGTGGACCAGGTGGGCCTGGAGGACCTAAGGGTGGACGTGGTGGAGTCTGTCCAGCTATAAAGGAGAGAGAGAAAAAAAACTTTACTAATAAGATATTTTAATCCTTATATGTCAAGATTATATTTTTAAAGCATAACTCAAAGACCAAGATTCTTTCTCTTTAAATGAAACCCATATGGTAAATGCTATACTTTCAACTACAATGATGAAATACATCCTTACAAATTAAACTAACTCAATTTATGCTTAAGAAAAATTACTGAAACAAACACTTTTAAAAGATTACAGCGCTTAGAGATATTTCCCATCTTTCAGTGTACACACACTTCTTACAGTGAAATCACCCACCTTATATTCTACTCTGATGCCAAGCTAGAAAGTGAAACAAGGAAAAATGGTCTTGAAAGAATTTTTTAAGAGGTAAGAAAATAAGACGGATGTAAATATTCTATATATAAGTCAAGCAAGTTTGGAGAAAAATAAAGACCTTTTAGGCCAAAAATGGGTATTTCCTCTATGCTGTGCCCCATATGCCATGGAATCCTAGTTTCCAGGAACAAAGGCCGAGTTCCTTTAACAAGATGCTTGATCAAATTTCCTGGATTCCAAAAATAGCATAACAAGGAGAGTAAGTCACATTAATAATGCATTACTTGAAAAAGAGAGAAAAGGAAAAGAGGTATTAGGTAGACATATTTTATCCATGGTAATTTACGAAAAATTTTACCTGGAAAAGGTGGGGGTGGCCCTCCTGGTCCTGCTGGCCCAGGAAATCTGTCCCCACCGGGAACAGCCCCTGGAAAACGGCCCCGTCCTCTACCACCTTGTGGAAATGCTGCACGTGAACTGCCTCCTGGAGGACCAGCTTTACCTTCCCCAGACATTTGTCCTGATTGTGTAGCTGCAAATACCCAAATACTCATAAATAGCACTTATTAAAATAGTTTTCTGAAATGTAACCACTGTTATTAGAAACAACTGTACTTCAAAATTCATTTAACTACATATTAACTTGTAGCTGCCTTGGGCCTGTGCCAACTACAAAAAGTATTGGTTAGAAAAACATTCACACCTATCTAAGTGCTTTTAAAGTCTTAAAATATTCAGGTTTAGGTGTATTTCCAATGAGTAAAACTAAGCTATTTTCAAAATACCAGTATTCTGCAGTAGCCAAGACCGCAGTGGCTTATGCCTGTAGTCCCAGCACTTTGGGAGGAATGCTTGAGCCCAGGAGTTTGAGACCTGCTTGGGCAACACAACAAGACCTCATCTCTACAAAAAGACTAAAAATTAGCTGGGTGTGTTGGTGCACACCTGTAGTCCCAGCTACTCAGGGACTCAGCCCAAGAGGTCGAGACTGCAGTGAGCCGTTATCATGCCACTGCCTGATCAAGAGTGAGACCCTGACTCAAAAAAAGGAAAAATAAACATTATTAACTCAGTGGTTTTTAAGATATTCAGAGTTTTACAGCCATCACCACAATCAATTCTAGACCATCACTCCAAAAAGAAACTCCATATCCATTGGTCATTACTCCCCATTTCCTCCCAGCCCTCAGTCCTATGCAACCACTGAATCTACTCTTCGTCTGATTTGCCTATCCTGGATTCAGTTCATGGACAGTTGGGATGTTTCTACTTTTTGCTGCTATTGAAATTCTTCAACAGAAATCTTAATTTCAGTAGTTTTGATCATTTAAGTTTTGTAACATACTCTTCAAGTAAGCCTTAAGTGTTAAAACATTTTTTAAAAAAATCACTTAAACGTCTGCTAACCACATAATCACCCATCTTATCTCTTTAAATGGTAACATTCTTAAATGTGTTAATGGCAAATCTTTTCTATATTCACTTTTACCAAGTGGTGAAAGGTCTTGATGTCAAGCAGAAAGTCAATGAATATTTTTTGTTGTCTCTCTCTCCCATCATAATACACATCCACATAGCTTTCCACTGAAATCTAAGGATTAAAATATAGTTTCTTCCTGTCTCTAAGATGAAATGATAGGACAAGAATCGCAGGGCTACAGAACTTTGCACATTGTTCTATGATATTAGGTCTGTTACAACTAAAGAAAAATGGATTGGGGGTAAGATTCTACTAAATGGGTCTATAGACATAACCAGTGATTAAATCAAATTCAAATTCAAAGCACAGACTTTCTAAAATGGAGTTTCCAATGAACTAAATATTAAGAGGACTTCTCTAGTATAACATCTGATAAATGCATTGGTTAAAATACACATCTTTAAATAAAAGCCTCTGAGGGATTGCTTACTTTTCCTGGACTGCATTTCAAATTGACTCAGGAACTGTTTATTGCATGGAGTAACAACAGGATTTTGACCATGAAGCTCTCTTTTAGGCAACAGATCCATTAACTTTTTTGAAGATGCTTCAGATCCAACACCAACAAGGGCAAACCTAAAAAGTGTTTTAAAAGGTGAGGATAGAGAGTGGGGAGAGATTAATAATGTTAGTTATTTTTTGGCTGTTCTTTTTTTAAAGGTCTGAATTTGCTTTTATTTTTTAAAAAAAGCTGGGCACAGTGATTGAGCTTATAATACCAGCTATTTGGGTGGCTGAGGTGAGATGATCACTTAAGGCCAGGAGTTCAAGACCAGCCTGGGCAACAAATCAAAATCCGGTCTCTAAATAAACAAAAATAAAAAAATTAGCCAGGCGTGATTGCATGCACTTGTATTCGCAGCTACTTGGGAGGGTAAGGTAGGAAAATGGTTTGAACCCATGAGCTTGAGGCTGCAGTCAGCTATTGTGCCATTGTCCTCCAGCCTGAATGACTTCACCTCAATAATAAAGTAACAAAATATTCCTTAAAATTACAGAAGTACACAGTCTCATGTTCATCTTTTATAACGTACCATATAATTCAATCATTTTAAATGTGTATTTCAGGTTAGGTGCAGTGGCTTATGCCTGTAGTCCCAGCACTTTGGGAGGAATGCTTGAGCCCAGGAGTTTGAGACCTGCTTGGGCAACACAACAAGACCTCATCTCTACAAAAAAATTAAAAACTAGCCGGGTGTGTTGGTGCACACCTGTAGTCCCAGCTACTCAGGGACTCAGCCCAAGAGGTCGAGACTGCAGTGAGCCGTTATCATGCCACTGCCTGAACAAGAGTGAGACCCTGACTCAAAAAAAGGAAAAATAAACATTATTAACTCAGTGGTTTTTAAGATATTCAGAGTTTTACAGCCATCACCACAATCAATTCTAGACCATCACTCCAAAAAGAAACTCCATATCCATTGGTCATCACTCCCCATTTCCTCCCAGCCCTCAGTCCTATGCAACCACTGAATCTACTCTTTGTCTGATTTGCCTATCCTGGATTCAGTTCATGGACAGTTGGGATGTTTCTACTTTTTGCTGCTATGAAAAGATGTTTAACATTACTAGCCATTAGGGAAATACAAATTACAACCAAAATGAAATACCATACATTCATTAGGATGGCTTCAATAAAAAAGACAATTAACAAGTGTTGGTAAGGATGTGAAGAAACTGAAACTGTCACATACTGCTGATGGGCATGTAAAATGGCACACTACTCTGGCAAACAACATGGCAGTACTTCAAAAAGTTAAACAAAATTACCATATAGCCATTTAATGTAATTCCACTCTTAGATATATACACAACAAAATTGAAAATATATGTCCACACAAGACCGGTACACAAATATTCATAGTAGCATTTTGTTTAGTAGCCAGAAGTGGAAATGATCCAAATGTCCATCAATTATTAGACAAATTAAAAAATAAAAGTGCTACATTCATATAATCAAATATTATTCAGACATAAAAGGAAATGTTAGCCGGGCTCGGTGGCTCAGCCTGTAATCCCATGCTTTGGGAAGCTGAGGTGAGTGGATTGCCTGAGCCCGCGGGTTCGAGACCCGCCTGGG